TTCTGGAGACTGACACCAAAAACCCAAAGTGTTTGTCCAAGCAGACGTACATCTAGTTTTTAGTAAAGGTTGAAAACAGTAGAATTGGCGGACTCCTCTACTCTACACACACACACACACACACACACACACACACACACACACACACACACACACACACACACACACACACACACACACACACACACACACACACACACACACACACACTCACTCACTCGCACATACTGCTGGACACTATACTTTCCTCTCATCCTCTCATCAGCTTCAGTTTTGCCCAGGCAGCACCAGCCTCCTACCAGCTGTTTTGGCCCTTCGATAACAAAACATCACAAGCTGTAAACTTTGAACAGCCCCCCAGAGTTTGTTTAATAGGTTTAGTAGGTGTTTAAAAGATTCAATGAATAAAAGTATTACGAGGTTCCTGTATATCTGTGTTAAAAACCAAGCATAACTGGCAAACTTACAAATATTACTGATAGAAATTCCTAATAATAAAGGGTCTGTGAGGTAGGCTATTCATGCATATCAGTGCAGACAGCTATCTTAGAAAGTAGCCTGGTAAACCCTTGAATCTAGCCTGTTTTACAACATGGCAACCCACAAGTTTTAATTCATCGATAATGTAATACGCATAACAAATGAGTTATTGATAAATGCAGCCTTAATTGAATGTTTGTAATAGCCAAAGTGCAACGAAAATATTCAAAACTATGCATTATATTCAACTAAAGACAAAACAGATTTCCTATTAACTTCCGCTTTCTGTTGAAGTGAAGCGATAAGGGATTTAAAGCAGTAAATTGTTAACCAGCAGCATCGATATGATGCGTCACATGACCATGTCGGGGTCGGATATGCATATGCTCATTCACTCATTGTGTGTATCTCGCCTGCAGATGTGACAGTGTGGCAGACAGCAGACCGCCTCCTCCAGCAGCACACAATGATCCAACTCTTCATCGACTCAAGTCGTCAGTTCCTGAGACGAGCGCCGAGAAGCCTCTGTCCTTTGTAGCAGGAGTGTTCACCAGATAAACCCCCATCGCGGGATCTGCCTGTTTTGGTTTGAGGCGGGTTTTCCCCTCCGTGTTCATAAACCGGCTCACCTGCAGAAGCTAAAAACCATGCGATCCCGGGCTGCGCTCCCCCGGTAAGTCACCTTTATGTGCGGTTTGTCTATGCTCGGAAAAACTTTACAAGTCAATTTAGAGAAGTTCCTAAGCAGTTAACTGCGGTGTTAAATGTTAACTGTACTGTTAAAATGTAATTGATGCAGTGGCAAAATAAGCGATTTATAGTTTACAGATGCCCCCCCTACAAATAATGTACATGCCAAACACGCCGAAGCTGCTTTGAGTTTTTATGCTCCCCACAAATGGAATAAACTTCCAGAAAACCTGAGGTCTTCACCAACGCTGAGTTCTTTTAAGTCGAGGCTAAAAACACTACTTTTTACAGCTGCTTACCCAGAAGCCTTTTAACTTGTTTTAGCACTAACCGTATTTACAATGTCGTTTTTAAACTATTTTATATCTCATTAATGCATTGTTTTTATGAAACTGTTATTCCATTATGTTTATTTATTGTGTTCCTCTCTGTTCTATTATCATGTGTTAATAATCATGTAAAGCACTTTGAATTGCCTCTGCGTCTGAAATGTGCTATATAAATAAACGTACCTTACCTTACCTTACATTTTGATTAATTCAGTTACTCAATGTGTGAATGACTTGCAAGATGCAACTATGTCATGCTAGACAGGTGTTACTTATATGTCTTGTGTAACCCTGAACCCACAAATAGAGACTACAGTCAGTAGAGAAAAAAATGTTATTTAGCTACTTTTGAAGGTTTAAGGTCCAATTCCCATACCACTTAAGGAATTTTCCATCAGAGTATAGTGGCCTGATCTTTGCCCTATTCTTCATTTTTGCAGCATTACAACAGTGGAAGTTTACAGCTTCCAAATTCCAGGGCAGAAAAAAAAATCCTCAAGTTGAAATCCTCCTCCTCAATTCCCATAGTTGTAGTTGTGAATTCATGACGCTGACTTTAGGAGTGGGAATTTCTCTTCATGCAGACAGCAAGAGTGGCAAGGACATCCAATCACATTCAACAGAGCCTCTTGAGTTCTGCAGAAATGTTCGAGTCTGACAGGAATGGGTCTTCAGTTAGTTTTCCTGATCTGTCCTTCTGTCCATCCACAGGTTTTCCTCCATTCTATTTCTCCTCTTCCTTCCCCCTGTTTTTTCCTCTTCCTCCCGCCCCCAGTGGGTTCCCCAGCGTGTTCCTGTGGTCCTCGCACAGCAGACGGAGGCTCGATCAGCTCCTCACTTCCTGTCTCCGGCCCGCTTGGACGTCAGCTCCCCCTGTGACCCAGAATGCCATAAGAAGGCTCCTCGTCCAAGCTACTGGGACCTACGACGTCTTCTGGCCTATGAGACACTCAACTCGGATGGGCAGCTTACTGAGACAGCTGTTGCGATCTATGGCTACGACCCCAACACGAGTCCGGCCTATTCCTCTGGGTCTTCTGGGAAGGCCCAGCGGTCACATGTCAGGAGGAAGCGACAGATCTTTGGCCATGATGGGCGTTTTAGCATTTCTGGGCAGAACCACTTGCTGAAATATCCATTCTCAGTGGCCGTCAAGCTGTCCACTGGGTGTTCTGGTACATTGGTTGGCGACCGTCACGTTCTCACAGCTGCTCATTGTGTTCATGATGGTAAAAACTATGTGAAAGGAGCCCAGAAGCTCCGGGTTGGGTTTCTAAAAACGAAGCATCGAGACACACAGGCCGTACACTCCTTTGACCTTTCCTCCAACTTCACCAACCATGTTGAAGGTGGCCACGTTCCTTACGCCCCACCAACAAACGACAAAATGAAGTTCCAGTGGATCAGAGCGAAGCGCACACATGTGCCTAAAGGATGGATTAAAGGGAATGCCAATGACATAGGAATGGACTATGACTACGCTTTGCTTGAGCTCAAGAAACCCCACAAACGCCGCCACATGAAGTTAGGAGTCAGCCCCCCCGCTCTGAGGCTGCCCGGTCGACGAGTCCATTTCTCAGGGTTTGACAATGACCGTTCAGGCAAGCTTGTGTATCGGTTCTGCCGGGCCGGCGAGGAGACGTCCGACCTGCTGTACCAGCACTGTGATGCTCAGCCCGGGGCCAGCGGGTCAGGGGTCTACGCCCGGATGTGGGATGGGCGGCGCCGGCGCTGGGAGAGGAAGGTGATAGGTGTGTTTTCTGGGCATCAGTGGGTCGAGCGACAAGGGGCGTCTCAGGAATTTAATGTTGCAGTGAGAATCACACCTCTCAAATACGCTCAGATCTGCTACTGGATAAAGGGAAACTTTGTGGACTGCCGAGAAGGGTAAGGGGTGTAGCAACAAAACCGTAGGCCACTATATCCTCATACATCCTACTGGATCATTGGGGGCTGAAACAACTACAGTGTTCAACCCACCACTAGTAACACTGACATAAAATCAAAATAAACATCAACATTTAGTTTCCCCTGATCACATATGGCAATATCAGTAATGTAAATACAGACCCAAATCCAGTAGTGACACTAAACATAGTAAACAGGACAGATTCATTTCCAAAATACTTAGTTTTGTATCTTCTCTCCCATTTCTCAAATATGACAACGTTTTACATGTGAATTAACTTGAAAAAGTGTAAGTCATGTGGTTTTGCAGAACAGAGGCACACTTATCCGTTTCCTGGAACAATTTTCTTGTTGATAATTTCATCTGGAAGACACTCATATCTGGAACATGCATGGACTGATATAAAACAGGTCATCAGATCACAAGGAGCAGGACTGGGAAAACTATTTCACTATGTATTCTAGCCTTTTAGTGTGCTTATACTAAAGATTGCACTGTTTAAACTCTTGAAGTTTCTCTACTGAATAGTAGGATTTTCGTGGATGAATGTACAAATCAGCAACCAAAGGTGCCTGCAGTTTCTCTTTTAAAGATGTGTCTTCTCTCAGTGGACAAATCTATCTACATAGAGTGCTCTGTCAGCTACACAAACTGTGTTTTGGAGGTATATTTAACTTGTTACACAGAAAAATATTTTAGATGACTGCAGATTACTTGTTTTTATGAAGCCCATTTTGTTGAGCTTTATACATTAATGCTTAGCTCCCTCTGGTGGCAAACATAAAACATTGTAGACGTCCATCATCATGCAGACTTAGCCAAGGCCTACATAAGCACTTTTTGCTTCCTACTTTAAAACGTGTGAAACTGCAAATGTTATGTCTCAGAAACTGAACGGAATGAAATATATGCTCTGAAATGAGCAACTGTTTCAAATGTGTTTCTTTTCCAGCAGGCAACATGTCCCTCATACAACACGATTACTTTTAAACATTTGTTTTATTTTGGATGTCAAAAGGCATTTTCGGAATTCATGTGGGGAAACTAGACAGAGTAAAAAGCCGAAATATGAGGACCAGCTCCAATGACTTCTCCAGCAGCAACACATTCAACAACAGGTTCAACCAGGAGATTGAAACTAAATCCGGGGATATGGCACATGGGAAACTAACTGCAAATTTGACAACTTTCATAGCCGTAGCCGAAAAAAAGATCATCAGCTTCAGTTTTAATAAAAACCTGTTTTCAAGTTTCTTATAAGCTGAAGAAACGCCAAATACACTTTGGGGCAATGTGGTCAAGCTCTTATAGGACCTAAAATCTTTCCAAATCTTGTTCCTCTTCTTCAGTTGTGGTGTTATGGGTTTCTTAAAAAACAAAGAATGTGTCAAACTTGAGCAAAGACATAACATTCAAGAACCTCTGTGTTACTGAGATAAGGGTGATATAAGTACACCCATTAAAAAACTGAAATTGATGTGATGGTGCTCAATCGGAGGGTGGTGCTACTATCCTTAATACCTGCCAATTCAAGAAACATTTGCTACATTCAAGTGGAAAATGACCGCAAAATAAAGCAGAAACACAGAGGAGAGGATTTAAGGGCTGGATGTGCAGAATAAGCATAGTAATGGGCACATGTATGGCATTTGTGTATAAGAAAAAGACATTTTCAAATTCATAGAGACACAGAGCAGCACCGGTGATCCAGACAAGTACACACTGGTTCATCTCAAAAGTAGTTTCCTCCCTCTCATTTACACTCAACATGAAACTCGACTGAAACAGTCAATGTGAGATTCACGACCTCACAGGAAACATTGAGCTTTTGATTTTCTACTTAGATTTGAACCTCAGGATAGGAAAAAAACTTTTTTCTGTTGATTTCTATCTGAATACTGAACAGCCTACTGCTTTTAGTTTTTGACTGAGTTAGAGACGGTGAATGAGAGGAGGCTCATAAAGAGAAACATACTTTGGAGTAAAAGGATGTTCGCCAAATGTGACTTAACAGAAAAGGCAACAGCATGCAATAACCTGTTTCAAACACCATACCGGTAACTGAGAATACATAAACTGGTAATGACATGACGCATAGTCTCTCTTCATCACCCATGGAAAGGTCACTATAAGAACACCCTCTGCTGTCAAATCCTTGAGAGCACAATGATAATATGATATATTTGCAGTGAGAAGTGTTAGGTCCTAGGACGTACCAACAGAAATCTTTATTATTAGCCACATTTGTTCCTTTATCTACATCCAATCCACAAAAACCCTATTGCGATATGGTCCTAATACCATTATGGTTTAAGCATTGAGGCAACACATCGAAAACATTGACTGGATCACCTTTAACACATGTGTCATTGAGAACTTTTCAGCATGTCAAAAGGGTAATCAGGCATCAGCAAGTTGACTTTAATCCTCTTCTGGGTACAGCAGCAGCCATGCAAAGTTAACACTTCTTAAGGAACAACCAGAGCAGGCAGGGCTATATGACAAGAAAAAACAGTCAGGGTTAAGCTGTTTTCTGAAATGATATGTGGGTGTGCTTTTCATTTACAGATGCCAATAGTATTTCCACCCCCACACACAGGTTGACACTCGGGTGTACGTTTGTAAAGACTGGTGCTGTAACTGCCCTCCAGATAGCCAATGAAATGAAAGAAGCAGATACTGAGAGTGAAAAACAAAGTACCTAATGTGATTGAGGAATAATACCGCCATCTCTGCAGAGGAAGTGGATCAGAGTACCTAAGGTGTTTTCCCTATAGACTCATCTGAAGGTTGTACCAACGTTTTATTCTACTTGGTGGTTCAAATCCACACTGAGGCTGTTTGGAGCCACACTTTGATTCAGCAGGTTAGCTTAGCTTAGCACAGAGACTGGAAACGGTGGGAAACAGCAAGACTGGCTCTGTCTAAAGGTTACAAACTATTAAACAAATTACATTTCCTTTGTTTAATTCATTCAAATGTGTGAAAATGACAAGACAAATGTCTGTGGTTGCCAATAAATAGTCTGGCGCTGTTGTTTTTACGCTTAAATATTTGTTCTTATTAAACAAAGGAGACATACGTGCTGATGAGTGAGTTTTAGAGGTGCTGGAAGGCAGATTCTGTTACTATCGGTTTAACCAGGCTAGACATTTAATACATTTCTGCCTTTTTGCGCTAACTGTGCTGTTGCCTCACACTTGATGGACAGATATGAGTCAGGATCTTCCACTGCTCTGAGTGGCTCGTCTGTTCGACTGACTGTCAGAGGCCAGGCTTGCTCTGTGATTGGCCACCTGCACTTAAAATATCTTTGGTGAAAGTCACCTCCTGGCATTCCCTGACTTCCCTGTCGCCTAGCAACAACATAACACAACATGCTAATGTCATCAGCGTGGTAATGCCCGGCGTAACTCGAAATAGTATACAAAATAAAAATATTCTTTTAAATAGGTATATAAACATTGCATTACAAATAGAACCGTATCAAAACATGGTTACGAGTTCACAGTCAGTCCCTCATCCTCCAAGCGTGAGTGCGGATCAACCCTCCGGTCTTTTTCCAGACCCCCACCCGTCTCGCCTCCACAACAAGAATACGTGGGTGAGGTCTCGCTGTGCGGAGGATCACTGCACCTTGAGCCCCAAACTGTTAGAGGACACAGGGTAGGAGTAGGCTTTGCCCAGCACGATGCGATCTCGCAGCAGTTTAAAAAGGACATAGTAGTTGCAGAAGAGAATAAGGCCCAGAGACAAAGTGTGGTTCCAGCGCTCGGAGCGCAGCAGAGAGTATAACTGGTACAAAACCACACTGGACTCGATCCAGATCAGCAGGTTCAGGATCCGCAAGGGCTTGTGGAACAGGAACTGGAAGACCAAAAGACAGGAAGAGATAAGATAAATAAATGCATACAGAAAGGTCAAAGCACTTAATATGCAGGGTGTGAACCATCTTTCTTTAATGCAATATGCAATATAGAATATGCTTTCAGAGGTAGAAGGAAACTGATTCTTCCGCTGTGTAATACTTTTGTATAGTACCGCAAGTGTACTTCTCTTCTAATTTGATATTTTACAGGTTAATCCATCCGTCATTATAATAAAAAGAACAGATACTCACATAAAACCTTGCATGGGAAACATCAGAGGGCAGAGCAACATTATAGGGTCCAACTGCCTTATACAGCGATCGACTGTGTCGTACTAACACCCCCTGAGGCCAAATGGTGCTTTCTGACCACCTGCAAAATATATCAAAAGTTATCCATGCACCATTGACAGTCAATTTGAAAGTCTGTGTTTACGATTCTCCACTCACACATGCTGAGGAGCGTTGCTGTACGAGCCGTGCTCCAGTTTCTGCCAGCGGCCCAGGTGAGCGGCCGAGCGATGCAGCAGGTCGCAGTAGCTGGGCGGCAGCAACTGACTCATCAGCATCACAAACGCATTGATCCACACCATGATCAGATGCTCACAGGACCAGCGCATGTCATAGTACTGCGTGCTCTGTTGGAGTTAATGGGAAAAGGAACTGTATATTTACTATTTTACAGCAAGAAACCGGGTCAAATGTAGGGCAGGGGTGTCCAAACTACGGCCCGGGGGCCAAATGCGGCCCGCTGACCATTTTTGAATCGGCCCTCAGCAAATTCAACAAGTATAATGGAGTATGGCCCACAAATGAAACTTGTGCTTGTCTTATATTCTTAAATATAAATGTATACATATATTAAACCAAAAAAAAGTAAAAAGTGATGCATTAAGTATTCATGTGTTAAGACCACTTTTCAAATAAATTCAGTCAATTAAAGTTGGAAACATTTTCTAATAAATGTTAGTTGATAAGAAAAAAGCCCAATGACTTATTTCCATAACAAGCTTTAGATCGACCCTTCATATTGCTCCTTATTATTATCACTCTGAGCTTTTCTTTTGGTGGGGTTGAGGGGGAGGGTTGTAAGAGGAGGCGGGGGGGGGGGGGTTGCCGACACTCTCAAACTTCATTACCTAGCGAGTGCGTGATTGATTTTGCTAGCTTGCTAACTTGGCTTGTGAGAGGCTGTCAGGATGATATAGGTAGAAGTAGCGTAGGCCAGTGGAGTCTGTCCTCACCATCGGGGTGTGCGCCCTTTCCCAGGCGATTCTCCATGGCGGTGTGTCAGGTCCGACATGCTGGAGTGCTGCCGTTTGCCAGCCAGGGACTGAACAGTAGCGCCGCGGCCCGATCCGATGCGACTCGAACCCTCGCACTCGTGCACCGTTGAAGGCCAGTGATGGAGGTGCCGGCCACGAACGCACCTCACCCACCACCCTGAGGACACACACACACACACACCACACACACACACACACACACACAACACAACACACACACACACCACACAACACACACACACACAACACACACACACACACACCACACACACCACACACACACACACACACGACACACCACACACACACACACACACACACACACACACACACACACACACACACACACACACACACATCCCAATCACATCACCATGTCGCTTTTATCCAAAGTGACTTACAATAAGTGCAAAAACCAAAAAGATTAAAACTCTGATCACGGACCGAAGATATGTTCCTGCTGATCTTTAGTAAAGATCGACACAACCTCTTCCCGGTTGGAGACAGCCTGAGCGTAGAGTTTATCGGTGTCAGTACGACTCTCTGGATGAACACCTGCTTGGTCGTCTCTTCTCTCCGTACGGGACCTGAAGACACAAAACGGTAAATCTGACCCTCTGACCTCTACATAACCNTTCTGTTTTAAGGGATGAGCTGCCAACACTACACACAAGCATCATGTACCTACATTTGATTGATTTTGCTAACTTATAACTGAACTTATGAGGCAATATACCTCTAGTGAGTGGCCCAGCCCTTCGTATATTTTTCTGTGTGTGGCCCTCTGTGAAAAAAGTTTGGACACTCCTGATGTAGGGTCATGATGTGATGGGATACAGAAATAATTGGCACTTTAACGCTGATATTCTCAATAAAATAAAAACAAAAAAGACAGATACCAACCTTAACAAAGCAGAGAGGCAGGAAGGCTACGTAGTAAGCACTGAACAGCGAGTTGAAGAGCACTTCCTTGATTCTACGGTTGAAGTCGCTCTTTAGCTCCTCCACCTCTGCTCGAATTAACTCCGGCGTGTGCAAGTGTGTGTGTGGGGGGCAGGTGTGTGTAGGCATGTGCGGGGGACTGGAAAACTGCTCTCTGAGGTTCTCTCGCAACAGGAAGAGGAAGTCACGTGGTCGAAAGAACGGCGTCTCTGTGAGCTCTGTCTGCTGGTGGTCTGCGGGGTAATCGCTGTCAGCTGGTGCCGTTTGGCTTTTCCCTCCCTCCTGATGGAAACAGCAAAGAGGGACGTACACACCAAATCTGGAATGGAAGGAGGGCGGTGAGCCAACAAGGACAAAAGAAGAGCAGCGAGTTTTAGTCTTTTGAACTGACAGCAGGATGAAAATGAAGTTTATGTATGTGTGAGTGTTTAAGTAGGTCCAGGTGTGTTATTTGTCATTTCAAACAACCCCTATGTAATTTTTCGTTTTTATTTTATTCTACACATTTTCTTTTGTATTTAATTTGCCATTTTCAGGTCACTAAAGAGATATGATTTGCAAAACTGTACTTTTAATATAATGTAAAATCAGACATTAAGAGAGGTTGGGTCCACGAGATCCATTAGTGCAGACATACAAAAAGGACAAAGTAGCAACAAGCTCACTGTGAATCAACTGATTAATGGCTATTTGTACTGAACATCTAATGTGTGGTGGCGAAAGGAAACATATTTTTAGATTTATCTGGGGATTTATTTTATGCTGATAAATGAAGGTTTTTTTCCTTTCACTTCTGCACCACAACAGCAACGTCATGGTTTGTTAAGTTTTGTATCAGATGCACTCCATGCCGTCTATGATACATACACAGCATTGAAACAAAAATAAATAAAATATTGGGTTGAGTCATTTCCTTTAGAGTTTGATGCCACAGACAACATCAATTAAAATAACCCACAACGTTGCTAATCATGTAAGTGTCAATATACCAGCTGGGGTATTGTTGTCCCTTTACATCATGAACATTTGAAACCTGCCACTGCTTTTGATCTTGTTTATGTAGAGCAGAATCAGTGTCTGAATCCATCAACAGCAGTGCAACAAAAACAAGCATAGTTCAAAGTTCTCCATCAAAATCTATTCAACTCTTTCAACACCATGAATGACTTTGAGTAGAGAAAGTGAGAGTGCCATGTTCTGCCCATTTATGTCATGCATTGCTGTTTATCTCTTTATGATGGCAGGCCTTTTGATCCACTTAAAGCCTTTCAGAACAGGTATTTACAGGTTCTTCTGCCTTGAGACGTGGTCAGATCACAACTTATACATGCATTTCCTGGCCTTTAGACTGCAGTGGTTCTCAACTGGTCAGGCCTCGGGACCCACTTTTTCCTGAGTCAATAGATCGCGACCCGAAATTTTGAACCACTCAAATCTATTCAACAAAAAATCGTGCAGTAATATATACTCTTTTCAGCATACAATATTAATTAAAGTGAAGTATAGTGCATATATCCCTTATATCCCTTCACAGACGATAAAAACCCTGCTGAAGGTTAATCCATAGGTTAATCACTTTGAAATGATTTCTGATCATCCATCAGCTAAAAGAGGCACACTGAAAACCCAACCCCAGAAGGGGGTCTGGGGGGATTCTCCCCCAGGAGATTTTTAGAAATACTAACATATAAACTACCCATTCTGGTACACTGAGAAGAAAATAAATAAATCTATTGCTACCCGACATATTAATAATATTTTATGCCATTGTTTCTTTTTCACTTTGTTCTTACAGCTTGCTGCTCCACTCAGTATACTATAAAGAATAGTTCTACCGCAAAGTTATTCTCCGTGGGGACTTCCGGCAACAATCTTGATTCTGATTGGCCAGTAGAGTCGGAAAAACATCAGCAAACATTTTTTATTGAGAAGATGATCACTACGTGACAGAAGTTATCAAAAGTTTTCAAAACCACTGCATGCACAGCGTTAGAAAATCGGGCTTCAAAATAAAAGTTTGACCTTCCCCCCCCCCCAAAAAAAAGGAAATATTTGTTCTTCTTCACTCACACATCTGCGACCCACTCGAAACGGGTCCGCGACCCACTTTTGGGTCGCGACCCACCAGTTGAGAACCACTGCTTTAGAGGGTATGGTAGGGGGTAGCAAAGACTCACGGGTATCCCAGGAAGAGGAGGTTGAGCACAGAGTGGTTCTTGCAGAGGTTGACCAGCGTCCAGCAGAGCACCCAGCCGCAGAGCGTCAGCAGGCTGAGCCGCGCTGCGATCAGAACCACGTAGCGGAGAAGGGATCCGCCGCTGCTCTGAGACACCTGCACAGGACGCCACCACAGGTTACCAGAGAGACAGCCGGGGGGTTTGATTCCCACAGAGGTTATGTGTATTTAACGTTGCTGCTTATTGTATGTTGTGTGTTTACCTCTGAAACGATAGTCCACACAAGCCTCCTGGCCAACATGACTGTAATGAAGATAGCCAGGTGGTAGTCCATCAGATGGAAATTCTGTTCAAACATAGAGGAGAAAGAAGCAATCATTATTTTTCCATGGAGAAATTTTTTTTGTTTGTTAAATTGTACATATTAAATTAGACCTGAACACGACAATATACTGTTAATATTTTATGAACTGTGTGCAGTGGCTAAACAACTGTATTGGTTTTCCAATTCAGAGAAGTCATTACTGCCAAACTGTTAATGTTTTACTTATTTAAAAAAAAAAAAGAGGGAAGGTTGATTCCAACTCTTTTTAACACAGATGTTCCCTGCTCACATTCAAAAATGAGTTTGTTTGGTTAAAGAAAATAAAGTTGGAATATTTCTAATAAACAGAAAAAAAAATAAAGAAAACAATAGCAAAGAAGTCACTTAAAAGTAAAAAATAAATAAATAGAAAAGCAATAACAAATCAAGCTGGTGTGTGTACATCTTTTTAATATTCATGGTACATGGTTTCAACAAAAAAGATTAGCCCGGTCTTTGGATGTAAAGTGTTCCCGCTTAAGATACGTGTGAAAAATGTAGATTTGTTTTTACATTTTCAAAGTTAAGAAAGAAAAAAGCATGACTTTGATTGGCCAGTGTGTTCTTACGAGCGAGGTAGAGGCAGCAGGGTGGCTGTACGGGTACCACCACACCGTCCTGTAGATGTTTATGTACTGGACAAACAAGGCCACCAGCAGATACAGGAAGAGCAGGAACTCAAACAGCAGGCTGCTGTCCAACGGCAGCTCGGGGATCCTCGAGTGACGCACCGGCTCCGGAATAATGAGGGCCGAGATAGGGGGCGCAGACTGACCCACCACGTTACTGCTCCTGAGGGAACACAACCACACCTAAAATACACTTGTAGACAAAAAAGTGTGGTGCAGAACAATGTTTGTGTCACATCACACCCAATTCTCAAACCTTGACTCAGGCTTGAAGTTCATCTCTATTCTTATGCCAGTTTTACATGGATTACATCTAATATTTTTTCAGAGAAATCCATTTGCAACTATTTTGATGGACAACTCATCTTTACGTAAATTATCTCTTTGTCATTCTTAAATTATTTTGTTTTAATTCCAAACAATGTCCCAACATTTTAGTGACCTTAATCTATAAATAACGGTAATTCTGTAAAACGGAATATAAATGACGTGGAAGAGATGACTACATGATTAAAGAATATGTTTAGCTGATGTTTGATATCCAGGCTCTGATATTCTAGACCTAGGGGAATGACATTAACAATTTAGCGGAAGTGGATCAGAGCCTGCAGGTGGATGCTGGGGTGGAGCTCTTTAAATACTAAAGGCTCAGCAGCAGCAAGCGCATCGTTTTCAGGAGAGCCTTTGATTGGCCACTGACGGCTCAAGTCAGAGACTGTTTGAATCCATTTGTAAGTATTGCTGATAACACTTAGTTGTGTTCAATTTAATGGAGTTACTGTTAATCTCCTGTAATAATGACAAGTAAGTCAAAAATAATTTTAAATGATAATACGGCTAGCTAATGTCTGATAAAGTTCTTTAAACATTCCATCTAAGTGGACAATAAAAAAGAGCATTAAAGCCTTACTGGGTAAGACCTAAAGTGAAATGGGGTTTTCTTTCCAGATTTGTTTTTAAGTTTCCATTCAGCATAACGTCTGATAAAAACAGAGTGTGCTCACCTGTTCCTGATGCCTGTCCCATTGCTGATGTTGCCTCCGACCAGAGTCTGCAGGGACGGCAGAGCAGAGCGACTTAGCTGCTGTCTGCTGGGACCCCTGCGACCTCCTGGCATGGTCGCCAGTTACCTTGGCAACCACGGACGCCGCCCACCAACCAACAGCCGCTGGCACTCCTCCGCTTCTCCTCAACGAGCCACCATGTACAGTCAGGCCACTGCGGGGGGAAATACAAAACTGTCAACAGAAGTCAACAGATTATTAAAAAAATGCAAGTCACGCAGAGACGTAAAACCAACAAACCTGAGGCCTAATCAACATTTATAGGAGAGCACCCCGGAGACAAATTAAATATAATTTGAGTATAGACCCGTCCCGTGGTGTTTACTTCACACACAAATTGAGCAGTTGTGAAATTAATGAGTGGAAGGATAATTGGAGCACTGTGCAGATGCTGCAGTTTGTCAATTACTTATTTACTTATAATATGTTAAATGTTATGTTCTCCCTCAGTGTTTCCCCTAGGTTTACTGCCTTTGCAGGGTGCTGCTGGAAAAAAAATTTCGGGGCACGCACATTTTTTTAATCCTCTGAAGCAGAGAGGAGCTGTGGATTATTGTTATTGATATCGTACAGTAACAAAGTATTTGTACATTAAAAAGTAATAAAGTACAGTGTTACACTGTACTGTATTAGGCCGCTCCATCTCATCTGATCTCTGATATGAAAGCAATCGTGTTATGATCATATTGAGCTATTGGTGTGAGTCTAACATTAAACAAGCCGTCTGCTTGTCATACATTGCTGACGATACATTTTTAGAGGCAATTTGTTGAGTCACTGCCGCTAAATGCCGGTAGCATCAAGCTAGCAAGTCCTGCATTAGCCTCACATCAACAGGTGTAGACAGAACATCCAAATATCCTGAGCTAATTTACTGAATAAACCAACTCACATCTCAATACTGTAGTTCAAAACCACGGTACCTGCTCACCATCTGTGAGCTATTTTTAGAATGCGCACGCTACGTTCGTTGTCGCGTTCGCGCGCGTCCACCTGGGCAGGCTGTGTGTGTCCTTCTCCCGTGACGATAACG